CTATTGGGGATTTGAGGAGATATACTTGTTAGGGCACTCAGGCAAATGTTTGGGTATTATAAAATTCCCAAACATTAGCAATAAACAACCCAGGCATCAACAAACCATTTAGGTTATCTTAATTGAGTAGAAAGTTCCTGAAATCAGTGTTTTTCTCTCATCTTGGAAATGTATTTTGTAATGTTAGTGAGTTTGTTTGAACTTGATTTTTCCCAACTTGTTTGTTTTATATGCAGGGAAAGTAACTTTCTATCTTTATTAATGATTTTGAGATGATAATTTGTTACTTGAAAATAATCTCAGTAATCTCCAAATTAATCTAAAATATTCAGTCAAATATTTAGTGTCAAACGAGTCAAAATAACCTCCAGTGTGACAGGAAACTCAGTTCTTCCTAGGTTAGCTAATTTCATACTTGGATTGGTCTGACTGGGGGCGTTATTATGTTGTGGTTAAACATGCTGCCTATGAACTGAAGTCAGACCTTTTGAGATTACGTGTGCTACCACTTACTGTGTCAGCTTGGCTGAATTTTTATTTAACTTCTCCGTGTTTCAAGTTTCTCATCTGTACAATGGAAGATAATAGTATATCTTAAAGTTGTAGGGTTGAGAGAGCAGGGCAGTTAGCACTTAGAGTAATGCTTAGAATATAATAAACACTTAATAAATGTCATTGTCACTTATATCATTGTTATTTACATATATGTAACAATGATTTGAAACTTGACATCAAGAAATATTTAGGAGAGAATGTCACCTGACTCCTTGGTTTCTAGCATATAGGCTTGTGTAACCAAGTGAAATAAAGGACATAGCTTTAGTGGAAGAAAAGGATACTGTCAAGTTTTGTTTTGAACATGTCAAATTTGAGGCATTTGTCAGATGCTCATCTTGAAATATATGAATTTATTTATTTTTATTAAGTATATTTTATTGATTATGCTGTTACAGTTGCCCGCCTTTTTTCTCGCCTTTATCCCCCTCCACCCTGCACCCCCCCTCCCACTGGCATTCCCTCTCCACCTTAGTTCATGTCCATGGGTTGTACATGTAAGTTCTCTGGCTTCTCCATTTCCTATAATATTCTTAACTCCCCCTATTTTCTACCTACCAGTTATGCTTCTTATTCCCTTATTCCCTCCCTTTCCCCCTCCCTACTGATAACCCTCCATTTCTGTGATTCTGTTCCTGTTCCAGTTGATTGCTTAATTTCTTTTTGTTTTGCCTTTTAGGGTCAGTTGTTGATAGTTATGAGTTTGTTGTCATTTTACTATTCATAGTTTGATTTTTTTCTTAGATAAGCCCTGTTAACATTTCATATAATAAGGGCTTGGTGATGATGAACTCCTTTAACTTTACCATATCTGGGAAGCACTTTATTGACCTTTCCATTCTAAGTGATAGCTTTGCTGGATAAGGTAATCTTGGGTGTAGGTTCTTGGTTTTCATGACTTTGAATACTTTTTTCCAGCCCCTTCTTGCCTGCAAGGTTTCTTTTGAGAAATCAGCTGATAGTCTTATGAGCACTCCTTTGTTGGTAACTGTGTCCTTTTCTCTTGCTGCTTTTAAGATTCTTTCCTTATCTTTAATCTTGGGTAATGTAATTATGATGTGTCTTTGTATGTTCCTCCTTGGATCTTTGGGAGTTTCTTTGGGACTCTCTGAGCTTCCTGGGCTTCCTGGAAGTCTGTTTCCTTCACCAGGTTGGGGAAGTTTTCCTTCATTATTTGTTCAAGTAAGTTTTCAATTTCTTGCTCTTCTTCTTCTGGCACCCCTATGATTCAGATGTTGGAGCATTTAAAGTTGTCCCAGAGGTTCCTAAGCCTCTCCTTGTTTTTTTGAATTCTTATTTCTTCATTCCATTCTGGTTGAATGTTTATTTCTTCTCTCTGCTCCAAATCATTGATTTGAGTTCTGGTTTCCTTCCCTTCACTGTTGGTTCCCTGTATATTTTGTTTAATTACACTTTGCATAGCCTTCGCTTTTTCCTCTATTTTGCAACCATGCTCAATCATTTTTGTGAGCATCCTGATTACCAGTGTTTTGAACTCTGCATCTGATAGGTTGGCTCCTTCCTCATCGCAAAGTTCTTTTTCTGAAGTTTTGATCTGTTCTTTCATTTGGGCCATATTTCTTTGTCTCTGTGCATCTGTTTCGTTGGAAGAGGCAGAGCCTTAGGTATTCACCAGATTGGAGCAACCTATGTCCCTGCATTGTGGTGCTACATGTTGGGGAGGGGTCAGAGAGGGAACAGTGCCGCTTGCACAACTCTTTCCCTACTTTCAGTTAATTCCCTGACTACCCACAAGCAAATTGGGCCCTTCTGGTGCTGATTCCCAGGTGGGTGCATTTGTGTACTTTCTAGGACCCTATGGGTCTCTGCAACGGACTCTCCTGTGAGGTTGGAAGTTCTTCCCACCACTGCAACCCCCACAGGTTGTTACTGCCAGAGGTTTTAAGTCTTTAGTTTCCCATGCTAGAGCCCTGGGTTGTGCAGTCTGTCTTGCTCTTCAGTTGTTCCTCCTGGCTTTTCCGCACATGAATGTGGGACCGCCCAGTCCTCTAGCCACCGCCTCCCTGACTTGGCCCGCCACCTTGCCACACATCTTCTCTGCCCTCGCTGCCCGTCTCCACTCCTCCTACTAGTCTGGAGGCATGGTTCTTCTTAACTCCTTGGCTTTTGGACTTCCATACAGTTTGATTTTTCTGGCAGTTCTGGCTGTTTTTTGTTTTTAAGTTTGTTGTTGTCCTTCTTTTGGTTGTGCAAGGAAGTGAAGTGTATCTACCTGCTCCTCCATCTTGGCCGGAAGTTAAATGCAAGCTTGAAATATATGAATTTAAAGAAGGGAGCAGAGACATTGGCATATGTATGGTAATTTATACTATGACAGAAGAATGAGATAACTTTTAAGGATCTACCTTGGCCTAGGCTAGAAACCTGGGGACACTAATTTTTAAAGAACAGGCAGAGGCTATGAAAGAGACCATCTGAGAGTTAGTTGGTGAGTAAGGAGAGAGCAGTGCCACCAAAAAGAGAGAGTGATCAGTGTTTGCCAGTGTAACAGAAATCACAGTTGAAGTTGACCCTTGAACAATGTGGGGTTTTGGGGTGTTGACCCCTTGCTCAGTCAAAACTCCACATAGAACTTTTGACTCCCCCATGCTTTGACTACTGTTGATTGGAAGCCTTGTCAATAACATAAACAGTATTTTAACACATTTTGTATATTAATAATATACTGTATTTCTTATAGTACAATAAGCTATAGAAAATAAAATGTTAAGAAAATAATAAGAGAAAGTTTTATTTACATTTATTTACAGTATTTATTGAAAAAAGAAAACTGTGTGTAAGTGCACCCACACAGTTCAAATACATGTTGTTTAAGGGTCAACTGGACAGTCATCTGAGAACTGAAAAGTATAAATGACTTGAGAATTAGTCTTTTGTGACCCTTTGGTTCTAGTAGAAGATTGGAGGCAGAAACCAGATAGTGAATTTAGGGGTGGGAATAGGGGAGGAAGGGAAAGACAATAAATATAGACTACCATTTTCAGAAATTTTGATGAGACAGATCTTGGAAACTATAGGAAGTTACAAGGTAAATGGAAAATTTAGAGGAAGGATAGGATATTGATAGGCTGGGAGGGAACTAATAGAAAAGGGTCTAATTCAAAGGCACAGGGTGGTCAGATTAGCCTTGAACAGGAGGAGGGCCAAAACATCTCTGAAGATGTTTTGCTGAAGGAAAGCGGGATGAGGACACATATAAGCCTTTAAGATTGGGGAAATCACTCCTCATTACCACATTTTTTCCCCAAAGAAATGAAAGGAGGAAGAGGTAGGTGTTGTAAAGAAAATGGTGAAAGTTTAGAATAGTAATTGAAGGAAATAGGAGAGGGGGACTGAAACATTTGTTCCCCAAGTGAGGCATTTTTAAAAATCTGAACAGTATTTAAGTATATCACTAGTAGAGTGGGTATTATGAATATGTTATATGAAAGGGGAAAGACTATTTTTTCATTTAATGCAACATACTTATTTAGCATTAGGTATGCACAAAACACTGTCATATGTACTTCCTGGGAGATTCAGATGAATACTGACTGTCTCATTCAAGGAAGATATGAACTAATAGCTCATGTTGTATGATTTGTCAGAAACATAAATATTTAGCCCTAGCCAGTTTTGCTCAGTTGGTTGAGCATTGTCCTACAAACAAAAAGGTTACAGGTTCAATTCCCAGTCAGGGCACATGCCCAGGTTACAGGTTTGGTCCCCAGTCAGGGCATTTGCAAGAGGCAACCAATCCATGTTTCTCTCTCACATCAATGTTTCTCACCTTCTCTATCTCCCTACCTTCCCCTCTCTCTAGGATCAATAAAAGAAAAAAAATTAAAAACACAAAGATTTATAATAGCCTAAAAATGGTGATACATGAACTTTATAAACATACCATGAGGATTTGAAAGGAATAGAGATTCCATCAAATAAGGGGTAAAGCAAATGTTGGATTTCTTCCAATAGGAGAAGACTTTATGGAAAAGACCAAAAAAGGGCTATATGTGAATTTCCTGAGGAAATAGTAATGAAACTACTAATGAGTATTTAAGTTTACAGAGATCATATATTCTTCTATAATACAATGACTGGCATTAACCAGAAGAAGAGAAATAAAGAGATTAACAAAACATAGTGAATTCTGTTCTATTCAAGGTGTTCCAAATGTGATTATATTTTTATGTAGGAATATAGAATTTAGTAATCCTTTTCATAACTATTGCGTGAACATCTGAGGAAACTAAGATATAGTTTCTGTCCCCAAAGAGCATACTCTAGTAGAAGAGACAGTAAAGAGAGAGAACTTCACTTCTATAAAATAAATGATAAAAAGTGGTGTGTAAGAGTAAAGAAACTTGGGGTTACAGTGGAAATAAGTATGAATAAATGATTATATTGCTATGACAGAAGTTTTTTTTCTTTTCTTTTTTTTTTAGTTGGCGAACATCAGTTGACAGGCCATAAAGTGGCAGTTAAAATCTTAAATAGACAGAAGATTCGCAGTTTAGATGTTGTTGGAAAAATAAAACGAGAAATTCAAAATCTAAAACTCTTTCGTCATCCTCATATTATCAAACTGTAAGTATTTTTGTATCTGATATAACAAAAGAGAAACTGTCTTGAGATGTTATTAATGAATTTACAAATTATCTTTAATTAACCTTTTATAAAAGACTTCTTTTCATAGTGATACTGAGCAAGGGTTAATTTATTTACCTTCCATCAATTTTTTTTCTCCATACTTTTGGTTTAGAATTATTGTTTTAAAATCGGTACTGTTTTCAAGTGATGAATGCAGCCTTGGACGTTGACTCCGATTTTTAATATTCATTTCAAAGTTCTTTCAGGACTTTGATATTCCTAGATTCATTTTGTAATTATTTTTGATAATTTTCAATAACACATCAGGGTATTTTCTTTTTGGAAAAGATAAAAAGTAACTGTTAAAGATTATTCACCAAAATATATTATTTGCAAAACTGCAATGTTACCTTAATCACTGATTGTAAAGGTCTTAGGAAGGCAAATGAATTTTTGAGGGGATAAGACAAGTTACAAACTTAAAGGATAAGTAAATATTAGAGATTAATAAGCTAATTAAGTAAATTGAAAGATAATTTAAAATCAACTAGACCCATAGAAAGTTTAGACATTAAATATACAACATTATTTCTTTTTAATCATTTGAAGTTGTAGTTTAATATTTACTGAGAAAATATGATATGCCAAACACTGAAAATTGCCTTTGTATTTTTATCTTAAAGTTTGGGTAGAATTTTATAAAATAAGACTCTTATTAAGCAGTTGATACTGGTTTGAAACTATATTGAGCATTTTATATATAAAATTTCATTTCATCTTCATAATAGGCTTATAATGTAGGTATTTTAGATAATTCATTTGATAGGTAAGGATATTGCATATCTAAAGAGTATCAACAGCTATCCAAGGTCAAATGGCTAGTATAGCAAATTTCAGAGCTGATAGTTGAGTTCATACCTGATTCCAAATTCCATGCTGTTAATATCTATTCCTGTAGTCCAGCCTTTGCAAAATTGAGAGTTATATAAATCTCTTTTAAAGGAAAAATAATTTCAGGGATCCTTGGTTTGACCAATGGAACATGTGTACTATGTTATTTTCTTAACATTATAATGGAGCTGAATTTCCTGTAAGAAATGGGAAATATGTTGTTCAGGAGGAATTTTTTTCCTCTGATGGGAGCAGTATCTGTGAGGCGTGGCAGTAGATACCTTCTCATTCACAGCACCTCAATTTTGAGTACACACTTTATGTCACAGTCAGTCAGTCACTGATATGTTCAGCACAGAGGAGCCTGCTCCCCACAGCACTACATATTCAGAGGGTGCTACAGCCTTTCCAGATCTAGCTTGATAGGCTACAGAATAACAGACTGTTGTACATTCTTTGTGAAAGATCTAAGATCCTACACAAAGACACAGGTCACAGGAGCTATGTTAACAAGTATTAAGTGCCACTGCCACTTTAGTAAAAGCTTTCTGTGGTCCTGTGGAGCCACTCTGTCCCCATACTTTGGAAATATTTTCAGTTTGTAATGATGTAAAGCAAAGATAAGTTCTATTTCTTCCGTTAATTCAATGTCAGTCCTTTGGGCCTGATAGGGTCAATAGAACCAAAAATAAATTCCCAAAGTTAAAATATTGAGTCCTCAGTTCTATATCTTTTTCATGTTAAACTTCCTCTTTTTTTTTTTTTTTTTTTTTTTTATTGAATACCACAAAATTTCTTTATCTGACCACTGCTCCAACATGTAATAGCCAAAGTCACATTGCCAGGTTAATCCTGCCATTTGATTTCTTATTCCTACTGGTCCTCAGGCCATCTTTTAGTCCCTCCTTACAGTCACTATTACGGTGATCTCTGCCTTACCCAGCTATTTCTTCCTGGGTATTTCCAATTATTCCAGCCCACATCCCTATTCATGAAGCAGCATTAACAGCTTTGATGTTCTATTGCAGATCTTGTGAGAGGGGAGCAGGGAGGAGGCCTGTGGGACTGTGTTTACAAAGTCTATAGTAGTGTACAGTAATGTTCTAGGCCTTCACACTTATACAACACTTACTCACTGACTCACCCAAGCAACTTCCGGTCTTGCAAGCTCCGTTCATGATAAGAAGTGTCCAATACATGTGTAGCATTTTTTTATACCACATTTTTACTGTACCTTTTCTGTTTAGATATACAAATACTTACTGTGTTACAATTGGCTACAGTATTCAGTACCATGCTGTATAGGCTTGTGGCCTAGGAGCAGTAAGCTATATCAGAAGCCTAGGTGCATAGTAGGCTATACCATCTAGACTTTTGTAAGTGCACTCTATGATATTTGTACAAGGACAAAATAGCCTAGTAATACATTTTCAGAATGTATCCCCTTTTTCAAACTTCCTTTAGTATACAGAAACAAAGAACTAAATACAAATGCCATACTCTTATAGCTTTGACACAATTATGAAATCAAAATAAATTCACGACTTAGATAAAACTAAAACCATGAAGTCAGTGAAATTCAAAATAGTATCTATAGTGTAATGTGACAAATAATGGTGTTTTGCAAAACCAAATCACTGTCAGTTAAATAGTAGAAATAGTACAAGGAGGTTCAATATTCTATTTTTATTTTGTTTCAAATAATATATGGCAGAGAAAGCCTATTTATGTAAGCATACTCCTAAAAACAAAGCAGTTTTAAAATCTTTGAGGCTGTGTTTCCTAGTTCCTTATAATCAGAAATTATATTTAGCTTTAACTTTGTTACTGAGCAATCTTTGATGTCAGTGTTAATGGGGAACAACTTGATAACTCTGTAAGTACACTCTTTATACCTCATAGCAAGGTTAGAATAGTAGCTGTGGTAGGTGAATAATGGCCCCCAAGATATCTTAATCCCAGAACCTGTGAATATGCTACATTACATGACAAAGGAGAATTAAGTTGTAGATTTGTCAATGTAAGAATGTCTAAACCTGTAGAAAATTTTTATAAATTTTTGAGTCAGAGGATACTCCTAGAAGCAGGGTCTCAACAGACTGAGAGAAATGCTTCTGAGAATAACAGTTTGCCATTTGTTTTATGCATTTGAGATTAAGGAGGATTAAGAAAATTAGGTTAAATAAGGAAGAGTACATGAAGGTGGGAGAAAGCAAAGCAGGGATTGGATTACAGTAAAGATTATTTGTTCTCTTGAGAGTGGTCCTGCTTTAGAAGGAGAGTTTTGAGAACAGATATTTCAAAGGTGTGTTGTCCTAAATGTACAGAAATGGATAGAGCTAGCTTAAGGCAAATATAAGCCTTTTGCTAAAGAAGTTATATGCCTGGGGCATGATCTGCCCAGTTAGGAATGTATGATCAGATCACCTAATGAGGTTGCTTTCCATAGGACCCTTTTTTGGGCCAGATTTAAGGTTGCTAATCAATTGTTGGAAGTGACACAGTGGTCCTTGAGAGTAGAAGAGGGAGTCAAAAGAGCCATAGAGATTTTAGGATGGAAGCAAGGTCAGAGGGATGTGAAAAGGACTCAACTGGCTGTTTTTGGCTTTGAAGACAGAGGGAGAGGGGACCATGAGACAGGAATGCAGATGGTCTCTATAAGTTGGAGAACACAAAGAAGTGGATTTTCCCCTAGAGCCTCCAGAAGGCAATGCAGCCCTCCTGACACCTTGATTTTAGCTCATCGAGACATGTATCAGACTTCTAGCCTATGAAACTATAAGAAAATCTATTTTTTGTTATTTAAAGTTACTAAGTTTGGAAATGGAAACATTAGGAAACTCATGAAGTAGCATTCTTGATATCCTTCAATCAGTGGCTGACCCAATTATTGCTGAGACTTGGAACACACTACTAGTCTTTACTATCACTAGTTATATTTATTTGCTAGTGAACTCTTGTAAATTTGTATGTCAGTAATGGGGCCCATTTAGTGCATGTTAACCAACAGCGTATGAATATGGTATCGGTTGTTCAGAGAAAGCTTTTCTTGGGTTTGACGTGCTACTGAGGGTGATGACTCAACCATTACCATGGAAACTGCATTCTATCAGTAAGCTTCAATGCCATTTGATCTTCAGTTGGCTTTCACTCGATCATAAACATAAACAAGAAATGAGGCCTCTGAAATTGCATGGCAATACTTGATTATAAGGTTATCATCTAGGGCCTATATTTTAGATGATCCAGAGTATGTATATACAGGATTTTTAAGAACACCTTAAGAACTAAAATACAACCTATGACCTCAGCCACTCACCTCTTACATTCTTCATTTCCTTGACTTTAAAATGGGGATACCTCATGGTGTTATTTGAGGATTAAAAGTGTTCACACTAGTATAATGCCTAGTGTTTGATGTGCATTGGCCCAAAGCAGCAACTGGCAACCTATGAGCTGATTCCAGTTCTCTTTCATTACTCTGAGTGGTTTTCTGAGATAGTTCATATGTGCTTTTGACTCCATGTTGTTAATGATTTTATTCTAGTTACTGAGTGACTTTTAAGCTATGTCTTTTTGCTCCTCCTTACAGAGTGACTACTTCCTAAAAGAGGAGAAAGCTAGGAATGCAGACTAAAAGTATCACATGCCAAAGTGAGAGTGGAGAAGGGAGAGAAATCTGTATTTATCTTGTTTCTTGACCTCATCACTGAGAATTGACAAGCCTGAAAGATCCCAAGGAAATTTTGCACATTTAGAGTATGAGTCCTAGTTTCCATGCCATTCTTACAAACACAGATCAGATTTTGTCAGTAAGCAGTCACTATTGTCATGAGGATTTATTTTTGATGACCTATCTACTAGTGTTTTCTTGCCTCAGTTTTTATAATCATTTATAATTGTTTAATTTTGGTTTGACTGTCTCATTCTGGTTTAGAATTATTTAATTATTTGCTATTTTGTTTTATTGTAGGAGTTACAGAATGTTCTCAGGGTTGGTCAGAAAATAATTGCCTGAAGTAAATTTGGTGTTTAAGCTTCTGGCTTCCTGCCTTTAGCTTAATCCATTCAACTGCATTGCCTCTTTAATTGTGGATCTGAATTAA